TGTGTGTCTGTGTCTGTTTCCGTTCCTCCGTCCCTGTTTCTCTGTGTGTCCCTCTGTTTTTTTCTATTTCTCTGTCTCCATCTCTCTCTCTGTGTCACTGTCTGTCTCCCTCTCTGTTTCTCTGTATCTGTCTCTCTGTCTCTCTCCATCTCTCTCTCTCTCTGTCTCTCCCTCCCTGCCCCTGCTCCCAGGTCGGGAGGACCTTCGACCCGGCCACGGCATTCGTGGTGGACGACCTCAAACCCAACACGGAGTACGCCTTCCGCCTGGCGGCGCGCTCCCCGCAAGGCCTGGGCGCCTTCACGTCGGTGGTTCGGCAGCGCACGCTGCAGTCCAGTAGGTGTCTCGTGGACCCCACCCTCATCTGTGGGGGGGACCCTCGGCCAGCGCAGATGTCCTGTGCGTGCACTGACCTGGGCAGAGCCTGCCGCAGCGGGTGGGGGGTGCCTCCGGCCGACCCCGCCTGGCTCCTCCACCTCGGACACGTCCACGGGCACGGGGCTCGGGTGTGGGGTCCCGCAGAGTCCAGTTCCCTGTCTTCCTGGGGGACGAGACGCGGCCGTTTTGTGGCTTCGCCCCTAGTTGGGGAGCAGTCGCTGACTGCGCCTCGCCACTTCCTCGCCTGAATTTGGGGCTAACTGAATGGCCACGTGATACCCATTTCCCAGGAGTTTGGAGGGGTACATGAGGCTGTTCTAGCTCACACCCCCGAGATGGCAAAGGGCACAGAGACCACCCCACCTCCCCAGGTGGCCCTCCCTTCCCCGCAAGGCATGGTCCCCGCTACCGAGGGCAGGGGCAGCGGAGGTCAGAGCTCATGCTGGACGTGGGGGTAGAGCAGAGCCCAGTACAGGACTCTCAAGTTCCTAGACTTTTCCGCTGTGCCTGCCTGGCCTGCCTGTCCCAAATAAGTCACCTTTTGGCCAGGACACTGCAGCAGGCAGCTGGCGCTGGGCCACACCATGGCCCCCGCCACTGCCTTCCCTGCCTGCTCCAAGCTTGGGGCCTAAACAGCCCTTTCCCCTCTCTGCTCCCTCCTCTCTGCTCAGCTTAGCGTGGCGTGGCCTCCACTGCCGTGGCCTCCACCGCTGTGGCCCTCCTCCCCTCCCCCCTCTCAGTCAGTCACGACGTAGCCACCCAGGCCTTGTCTGGAAGCAGCCTCAGTGTTCAGACATTCACGCTCCCCTGTGTGTGCGCCCGGGGTGAGGGGCGGTCACGGGCCAGTCAAGAGCAACCGGCTCGGCCAGGGTGTCTGAGCCGCTGGGACCGGGGGCCTCAGGGACACGGCGCCCCGCC